CCACTTATGTTTGCACGCTATGCTGTGGCAGCATGCAGACATTTTGTGAAAAGGACTGTTTTTTAGAAGAAAAAAAAACAGGCATATAGACATTTGTTTTTCAATGTATTTTCCAGAAGATGTAAAAAAATAGTTTCTAAAGATGGAAAACATTTCTAACAGCTTTTAAAGGTTTTCGATTTGTTTGCTTTTTTAGTTTGGTAATAATCATATAGTTCTACTTGACTAGTTCTCTGATTGACAATGGATGAAAACATAATAACTTTATGTAGGTTGGAAAAGTGTTGAGGGTACAAAAAGTTAAAAGAAACGGGACAAACTATGAAGAAGTACCTTCAGATTTATCCATGCATGAAGGCCTCCTATGGAATGAAGATTGTGACCTTTTATCAGCTCCAACAAGGGAAATTGCAGAACATCTGTACGTGCAACATGTGATGTCTCCACGATTAGGTTCCAATCATGTTGATGCTGGGGTAAGTATCCACACTATCATTAATTATAATCCTTGAAAACTGTTAATGTTGAATTTGAGTTCAATTTCTTAACACGAGTTTCAACAAACTTGGTAGGTCCGTGTTCTTGTATCCAGGGATTTTCTTGAGGCAGTAGCCAAAAACGTTTTTTCTCAACGCCCTTCCTGGAGAGTTACTGATGCTGATGTCAATACACAGTGTGATTATGCACTGCTTATATCAGATCATTCAGTTTTCCCTCAAGGTATTGTATGATAATTGGACAATATCTTATAGGTTGTGTCTGGAGAAGTTAAAAGTTGACATAACACTACTTGTATTGTCTGTGTGTTTGGCAGCTCTTCGTGATGAAGAGTTTTCGATATCTGTAGAGATAAAGGTATGTGCTCAATTTGTGTATAGTAATAAGTTTTCATTCATATATGTTTATTTCTCCAAAACAGCCCAAGTGTGGATTTCTTCCATGTTCAAACTATATTCTAGAAGAACACACAATGAAGAGGTGCATGACCCGTTTCAAACTACATCAGACCTTCAAATTGAAACACAAAAAGGTAAGGTATATGAAATTTTCAATGGCTCATGAGTAGATAGATTGTAGAGGTACGGAGTTTGTGTAATTGGTGATATTTTTGTCAGGTATCACAATTAAGTCGATATGATCCGTTGGATATGTTTTCTGGATCCAAGGAAAGAATATTAAAATCAATTAAAGATCTTTTTTCCACCCCACAAAACAATTTTCGGGTATTCTTAAACGGTTCCTTAGTATTCGGATGCTTAGGTGGAGGTAAATACAGAACGAACGTTCGTTACGATAGAGCATTAGAAGATGCTCTGAAGTTTGTTATTCAGGCTGATGATGGTATGCGTACCACTTGCTTTCTAGAACTTGTTTCTGAGGCTGTTTTTAGATCTGGATTGTTGGATAGACTTTTACAAGTTCAGAAACTTGATGTTTTTGATATAGAAGGGGCCGTTCATGCATATTATGATGTAGTTTCTCAGCCCTGTGTGGTTTGTAGAGACTTAGGTGAAGATAAGCAGCAATCCGATAGATATACTTCTTTGCATACTATCCCATTGGATGAAAGTTTGAAAATTGTGAAAGAGTATTTGATTGCTGCCACTGCAAAGGATTTGAGTCTCATGATTAGTTTTAGAACAAGAGAAAAAGAGGATCCAAAGTCCGCGTATAATGTCATTTTGCATGAATCAATTGGACAGAGTTTTGATTATAAGGTAAGCATTTTGTTGTTATAAACAGCATGCTATTTTATTTTTATTTTTTTATTCATTTATCTTACTACTACACTACAGGTGTCTTTTATTGATTTGGATATGAAACCTTTGGGAAAGATGATGCATTATTATGAGCTGGACCAAAAAATAGTACGATGCTGTATGAAGATGATGAAGAATGAAATTTCGGCAAATTTTGAAGAAAAAAGTTCGTATCAAGATAAGTCCATTGTTGAAGAAGATGATTATCCTACTCGAGAACTTGCTGGTAACCTAACAAACCTTTATCATCTGTTGCTATTGTTGTTCCTTTTTTCTTTCTTTACATCTTAATTATTGGATGAATACGTTGAAAGTTTGAATGAGAAAAAACTATAACTTCATTTCTTAAAGTTTACAAATGCTACAAATTGAAGCTTGAAAGATGGCTGATTATAAAAACTAGTCCAAAAATGCACCATATGAGTAGTAAAGTGAGACACTAGTAGGCTGAGGTAGACTATGGCTATAAATATAATACTAGATCGATAACAATTTGTATTATACAAGCATAATGCATCATCTTTCATAAAGGTTACATAAAAGATAGCTGTCGTAACATGAACATGATGTTTATCAATCAAATTGGCGCCGATCTTAGTTGAGTATCAAGGAGTCAATGTATTTTGGCCAAAATTACCAAAAGGAAGCAGATCCCTTTTGGCCGAATCGACATTTCTTTAAACAACATTTCCCATCAGATTTATTATTATTTCAAGATCATAATAATGAATGGGCCACTTTACTAGTAGTCATTTTGCGGAAGATGTAATGTATATTTATTCAATCTTAATCATGGTTGTGATCAGAGTAAATTGGTTAATAGTTAGTTAGTTAGTTAGTTAGTTACAGCTCTGACTCAATTTAATTGAGATACACACAAGTTTTGTCTGTGTAATGGACTTGAACGAATTTGAGAATGGGTTGCCGTGATGAAGGACTGATTCTGTAAAGGCTTTATGCGGAAGGACTAGAAGTGGCATTGATGGAATCTTGAGAACTGAAAGCTGAATTGAGGTTGCGCTCCCATCAGTTCATTCAAGCTTACATCGGTTTTTTTGGTATCCAGTAACCGAAGATCTCATAATTTTCTTTAGTCAAAATCTGAGTTGCCAAACCATCTGCGAAAAGACTGGTTAGTTCCTTGTATCTAAATATCTCAATGTGTTGTTGGTTTCTGCTGCTGTAGATTACTTATTTCAAGATTTGATTTTCTCTTTATTAGACGTCGTTATGGATTAATTCATGTCTCTTTCACCTAGGGGTGTGCAAAAAAACCGCAAAACCGAGCCGATCCGACCAATCCGAACCCGAAAAAACCGAAACCGAAAAAACCGTGTGCTTACGGGTCAGTTACGGTTTGGATCTTTAGATATCCGTGGATATCCGAACCGAACCGTGTGTGTGTGTGTGTATATATATATATATATATATATATATATATATATATATATATATATATATAAAGTGAATTTTATATGATGTCCATTGTCCAGATTAAAATTAATACTTAAGTAAACTACTAAACAATTGCAAATACGATCCAATTGCCCACACAATACTCAAAGAACACAGTACTTACGAAAATTGGGATCACAACTCATTTAAACGTTATCTTTAATCTATTAGATTCATAAACCATAAATTTTGAATGTATGTTTTTGTATCAACTTTATCATATTTATATAATGAAGGTTTTATGTCTATGTATTTTATTCATAAAATGCATATTTGAATAACAAGAATTGATATTTTTTTCCTAATTTTATGTGAGTGTTTGATTTAAGGAATAAAATGGTTGAAATGGATTTTGTAGTTTTGACCGATTCTTATTTTTTTACAGTTAGTGGGTACCCGTGAACCGAACCGCGGTTACCCGCCTTCATACGGTTCGGTTCGGTTCGGGTTTTTTAGCAATACGGTTCGGTTTCGGTTAGTGCATGCAAGGTACCCGCACCGTGGTCATGCTTCACAATTTTATTAGTATCCGAGCCGAACCGCCCCGTGAACACCCCTAGTTTCACCGTTTACGTATTGTATTATTTCCCTTTATTTTGTGACCTAGTTTTTGGGTTATTAAACCAGTGCCATTGCCGTTTCCTTGATCACTAATGAAAATACTATTATTATTTACTTCAAACAAGTTGAAATTGATAATACAACTTTGGAGAACATGTATTGCATAAGCAATGAGTTCTTTCAAATTCAATGTTGTCCAGAACTTAACTCCTGAAAAACAGCCATACATGTAATGTAAGGTGAGTTTGTAGTTTTCACACAAAATTTATGTTTTAAAAATATTATTGTCAAATAAGGATTCATACACAGAATCATGTTAAACTAAGTCGGTAATACAGAAAGTTAAATATTGTGGATATTTATGTCATACATGTTCATTGCATTTTGGTTGGATATGTTTATTGTATTCTAGATATGATTTCATGATAAGTATTAGAATGGAATAGATGAGGACTGTAATGCAAGAACAATACAACAGTGAAATGTAATGGCTGAATGATTGTATTACTGACCAACCAAATCACAAGTCCAGGGAATCTTCCCTTTCTCTTCCATATATTTTTAGGTTTGGAAGATACATCCTCTGTTATGCGACTAATATCTCAATAATAAAAGTTTGGGAAAATAGATTCAACTTTGAATGGTTATTCAAAACTAGTAATTAATAATCATATAGTTCTACTTGCTAGTTGTCTGATTGACAATACAATGGATGTAAACATAATAAGTTTATGTAGGTTGGAAAAGTGTTGAGGGTACAAAAAGTTAAAAGAAATGGGACAAACTATGAGGAAGTACCTTCAGATTTATCCATGTATGAAGGTCTCCTATGGAATGAAGATTGTGACCTTTTATCAGCTCCAACAAGGGAAATTGCAGAATATCTGTACGTGCAACATGTAATGTCTCCATGATTAGGTTCTAATCATGTTGATGCTGGGGTAAGTATCCAAACTATCATTAATTATAATCCTTGAAAACTATTGATGACTTCTTTTGTTGAATTTGAGTTCAATTGATTAACACGAGTTTCAACAAACTTGGTAGGTCCGTGTTCTTGTATCCAGAGATTTTCTTGAGGCAGTAGCGAAAAATGTTTTTTCTAAACGTCCTTCCCGGAGAGTTAGTGATTCTGATGTCAATACACACTGTGATTATGCACTACTTATATCAGATCATTCAGTTTTCCCTCAAGGTATTATATGATAATTGAACAATATTTTTTAGTTTTCTAATATATGTGTTTGGAAATATTAAAAGTTGACATAACAACTTCTATTGTCTGTGTTTGGCAGGTCTTTGTGATGAAGAGTTTTCGATATCTGTAGAGATAAAGGTATGTGCTTAATTTCTGTATAGTAATATGTTTTTCTTTGAAAACTTTTCATATATGTTCATTTTTTTTTCACCAAAACAGCCCAAGTGTGGATATCTTCCATGTTCAAACTATATTCTAGAAGAACACACAATCAACAGATATATGACTCGTTTCAAACTACATAAGACCTTCAAATTGAAACACAAGAAGGTAACCTATATTAAAATTTCAATGCTCATAAATAGATTGTAAATCTACCGACTTTCTAATTTGTTATATTTTCCTCAGGTATCACAATTAAGTCGATATGATCCGTTTCTGGATCCAAGGAAAGAATATTAAAATCAGTTAAAGATCTTTTTTCCACCCCCCAAAACAATTTTCTGGGTATTGTTAAATGGTTCCTTAGTATTTGGATGCTTAGGTGGAGGTAAATACAAGGTGGACTCTTAGGCGATTGTGGGGTCTTCATGTGTATGGTTTTGGAGTGTTTGGTGTCGTGCTTTAACAACTTGGAATTACCGAGTTCATTTGAGTCATTTGGTTTACTTTTTGTTATAGGATGTCCTGTATTTTTTGGGGATCTTCTTTAATTGCAATTGTTGATGGATGATTTTGTTTAGTGTTGTATGAAACATCAAGCTTTGGCATGTAAAGATACAATTACGTTTGTATATTTTTTTAGGAAAGAAATGATATTAGGAAAATAATTTGACTTTTAAATTTACTATTATAATATTAAGCAGTTAATTGGCCATAATATCGAAAACAACTTACACAAAACACAGCTGTAACTATTAATCATAATCCCTAAGATCGGTAGTGTCTAACCGATTAATAACACAAGCAGTACGCTTAAAAACACAATTGATTCTACCAAATGTTACAAGTTGTAAACAATTATGGCTAAGAATAGAACCCAACTACAAACTAAGCATATCCTCAACTGTTTTAACATGTTCTACTAACCTAACCAACCGATAATTTACCAACGAATTGTTATGGCCATTGTCATCATCAACCCAACAACTAAACCCATACATTGTTCCCATAGGAATTAAGAAATAGTGGATTAACATTAACGAGTAAAAACAAGCTACCATTTTTGGACAAACATAAAATTGTCTTATGGGTTAGTCTTGGTCATCGAGGTTCTTATAAACGCTTCACTTCCACAATCACAATATACAATTTGGTAGATTTAATCGAAGAGCTTCCACAACTATAATAAGCTTCTGGAAGATATTTTACGACTTTATGTATTTTATATAGATGGGTCATCAGAGTGGTTGGTGGAGTATGTTACTAGTTAATTGTCATTTCAAAAGTGAATTGTCAAGTCACTTTGAGGTTAGTGTTGGTCATCGAGGTTCTTAGAAAGGCTTCACTTCCACAAATCACAATATGTCATTGGTAGATTTAATTGAAGAACTTCCATAATTACAATATGCATGTAACGCGCGGATTCTGGTATGTATTTAAACCAAATTATTCATTTTTGCAAAGGGACTCGACGAGTTGGAGGCCCCAAACTCGTCGAGTAGAAACGGATTTTGGACACGGGACTTGAAGTCTACTCGACGAGTTGAGAAACATCAACTCGACGAGTAGGGATGCCAGAGTGAAACCCTAATTTTCAGGGTTTGCACCCTATTTAAACACCTTAACCTCCAAAGGGTGGCCTCATTTGCAGCCTCCATCACCCCAAACCCTAGGTACGAAACCCTAATATGTTTTTGAGTGTTTTGAGCCATTCTTGGTACTTTCTTGAGGTTTTGAAGAAGAGGAGACTTGAGGAAAGAGCAAGGAAGTGAAGGAGAAGAGTAGTCCAGAAGTAGAGCTTCATTTCTGGTTCACCTGAGGTATAAAGCTCTTACCTTGCTTATTGAGTGTTTAGATCTAGTTTTAGGGCTCTTTCTCTATGTTTTAGTTTAATAATGGTGGCCTTTAGGATTTGGATGACCCCTGTGGAAAGAACCTTCAGATCTAGAGCCGTTGAGGGACTCCATGGCATCCATGGGAGTCCCATGCAACTTGTGAACCACCTTTTACGGACTTTTGAGCTAAATAACCCATGCATGGACGTAAAGTTAGCAACTTTATGTGGTAACTTGGTCCTATGGGACCATATCCATGGTTTGGAAGCATTGAACCCAACTGGAAACGATTGAATGGGTTTAGACTATGTGGGAATCGACGAGTTGTTCATACAACTCGGCGAGTTGGGTCGGGGCTCCCCCAACCTTTTCTGTTACTGGGCAAACTCGTCGAGTCTAGGAGATGACTCAGCGAGTTGGACATGTTTTTGGATGTGAAGATTGAAGAGCTCGACGAGTTCAAGGAGGAACTCGGCGAGTTGTGAGCGAAATGTCCCGACTCTGTATGAGGAGGAACTCGACGAGTAGGATCGAGATTCCATGTAACATCCAAATTTTCAAGACCAAAATTTTTGTTTTTAATTAAGTAACTTATAAAATTGTTTACTGAAAGACATCATCGAACCATATCATTTCATAAAACCATAGTCACATGTCTCAAAACCATATCATAAAATAGTAACAATGTCAGAGTACAATCCCAAGAATCTCATAATGCGGAAATCTTGTGTGTGTGTGTGATGCGTTGCTACCGTGTCGGCTCCTTCCCCTTCGATGAAGAGGTACCTGAAAACAAAACTGAAAACTGTAAGCACAA